TCATCGCGCTGGTGGTTTTTTTCATGGCGGCCGAACCTTCCGAGACTCCACGTTCTGCGTGACGGGCTAGGCTGACATATCACCGGAGACTGCCTAATGGATAAGGTGAGGTACATAGTTCACAACCTCATTGTCAGTTACCTCACCTTAGGACCTTAGCTAAGTACTTGAGGTTTCTGCCATGTCCAGGAATCGATTGGTAATCACGCAACATTTCTGTCCCTGGTCGCGACGAGGAAAATACCCTCGTACCGTCGTAGACACTGTGCGATCTGTTCACATGCATACTTACATACATATGTACATACATGACATGGAGCCACCGTGGCGATCATAAGGGAAGGTAGGGTAAGGTATCGTCCGACTATGAACCCAGCTAGCGCGGCTCTTTGACAACAGGAAAGGCTGAAAGATGCGATGTCATCCTGACTGCCTCTGTTGTCGCAAACGATGGGCTGCATGCCGACAACGCATGATGCATCTCCTACGGACAAAGCAAGTCTTTCGTACACGCAAGATCTTTCAGAACAGTCATTCGCATGGAAATATCCCTTGATAATGAAATGGCCTGGCTTGCGGCGAGTGTACCCCAAGAGAGACACCATGGGAATGGTGGTGATGATGCAGACGTTGATGGCTGGGAAATCGTCAAGGTTGGTACGCAACTGGCAAGGAAATAATAGATGGCATCCGCGTTAAGTCCGAACCTGGGACTACCTATCCATGGCTTTGAGCTGGTCTCGTCCGTCACCATTGGCCATGGGATACACACGACACATGGAAGAATCGGAGCCTATTCTGCCAAGGCTGCATGAGCATGAGTGGAAAATCCCATACCAAGATTGGTATCCCATGGACTACTTACCTAGATACGTACATACATACATAGTATTAACCAGGTACCTATTAGTAGTGACTAAACCGCACTACCGAACTCCCGATTCCCGAACTCGTTGGAATGACTTTTGGCGACAGCCCCATCTGTGCCCCGTCTCTGATCGATTTCTACCCAAGGGCCTTAAGGGCTTACCCGCCTGCATCATCACCACCACCGATGCTGTCTGCGCTGCTAGCTGCGGATATACTGAGGTACTATTAGCATGTAGCTCGGATATCCTCGTCGCGCCAGTCAGGGCACCCTTGCTCGTTTCACAAAATATTTCGTTGGACCTGGTTGGACGGACAGGGTGTTGACGTTAGTATTCATGATGATGCAAGCGACGAGCCTTGGACTGCTCCGTGCTCTGCTCCGTGCTCTGCTTACCTTACCGCCGCTTCGGCTTGCTTACATGGAGATAATGGATGTAAGGCAGATGAATAGGATGATACCTGGCTAAGCTTGGCCGCCATCCACCACGGCTTCTGACAAGTAATGTACATATCGGAAGACTCGGATCTGCGTCAGAACACACTCTATCCGTCCCAAAGGTCAAGCTACATACATGCAGTCCAAGTATGGAGTTGTATTCATTAAACTGAGAAGTGACTCCCATGCTAAACCCGCACCGCCCTATCCGCGCGTTCGACGAGGTAGGTAGATAGGGATAGGTATAGGTATGTACACGAAGGAGGTAGGTTCCTCTACCTATTGGCTACGTACCTCCTAAACTGCAGGAAATTAGGTCAAGTACATGCCCGCTTGGCCTTACTTCATAATTCCTTCTACCTGGTGTACCTCCTACATAGAACAGCATGGGCGTGGACGGTTGAGGCCGACCGATGCGCATCGTCCTTCCCACATAATCCGACCTCACGCACGACCTACCTGTGTAGGGTAGGCTAAGCAGACAGTCCGATGCCGATGCCGAGCGCGCGGGTGGTCGCTGACGAGGTGTGGAATATATTTTCGAGACCCGCACTTACCCTCCCACCAACTCGAGTTGCGCCTTGCCTTGCTGTTGATAAATAGACCGATCGTGTCTTACCCTCGCTCTGCCACTTGCAGTGTGGAAGAACTGGACCTCGAGCTTCTAGTCTCTAAACACAGTCCCCCCAGCTACTCTTTGCGCCGTCGCTTACTCATACCACCGCTTCTCGTCTCTTACTAAACCCATATTAAATCTACCTAGGTTAGGTAGCACTGTACATATAAACGTGATACCCTGCGAGACGGCTGTCGTTGACGTCGGTCAAAGCTCCTCCCATCAGTGGATGCAAAGGGCTTAGCTCTGGGCAAGATATGTGTTAATCTCCTACTGTCCTGTGCAAACGGGTCGGCATATAAAAAACACCGAGCCTCTCGGAAAGAAAAAAAAGTTTACAAAAAAGATTTGAACACAAAGATTACGGCGGCATGCGGTCGACGACAGCTACAGCGTTCAGACTCCTGGCGCTTGCAACTGCAGCTGCATGGTTGCCCGTGGTACTTGCCCACAGTGGTGAAGATGGAGGCTCAATCGACATGGACGCAGATATGGGCACCGCCGAGGACGCCAACTTGGATCAAGCAGAGTATGCGACCACATACTTTACGCTTCAACAACATGTAGGGGCCATTCATGCGCACATTGGACTTATGGTTGTGGGCTGGGTTTTTATCCTACCTCTAGGTGAGTCGCGTTGCGCATACAGCCCTAATCCGACCAAGGTATTGCGTCATGCTAACGGGTGAGACTCCAGCCATCATGTTCTCGCTTGCACGATCGCGATACACTCTCCCGGCGCAATTCCTATTCCTCGTCGCAAATGCTCTGGGCGTTATCACTGGATTCAGCTACAACACGAACACGCCCGACCTTTACCCCAATAACGCGCATCACAAGCTTGGATGGGTCGCAACGTGGGTGGTGAGCGCGCAGATCTTTGTCGGTTTGATTGGGCGGATAGCTGGTATGCTGAGCAAGCATGTGGCGAGACAGTCTACCAACGACGAGGAGCAGGCGTTTATCCCGGTATCAATGGAAAATATGGCCGAACATCAGCGGAGGAATGGCAGTCATTTCTCCGATCCTTACCGGCACTCCAATGACGGTGGACAGGGCACAGAGCCGCGCGCCGAGTCTTTGCGAAGCAATTCGCTCTCCACTGCCGTTGGACAGGATTCCCAAGACGAGGATGACGACGACCTTGCTTTTAAGCCCTCAGAAATGTTGCGGTCAACAAAACCGACCTCGCTTTTGAGCAGAATCGCGGGGAGTATCTCAAGTCGGTCATGGCGGTTCATTACAATCGGCTATGACGTAGTGGACAGGACAATCCTCATTCTGGGCTATATTGCGCTGTGTACGGGGGTCATCACTTATGCCCGCTTCTTTGTGAGTATGAGATTGTTCACAGTTGAAAGGCCAGCCACTGACGCATGATTCAAGGAGGGCCATGAAGTATTCAGCGGTCTGGCACATTGGATCAAAGGCGGCATCTTCTTCTGGTACGGCGTCCTGACCTTAGGACGCTGGTCTGGAAGCTTCGGGGAGCTGGGATGGGTGAGTTGAAGCAAAACATCACAAATAATCAGGAACCCCGAACATCTTCTAACGACATTGAATGTATAGGCCTGGAATGTCCGCCCCAAGCAGAGCTCGCAGAGGTGGAGGCCCACCGCGGAATTTGTCGAGGGTGCTCTGATCTTCACCTATGGAGCTACTAACATCTTCCTTGAGCATCTCGGCAAACCGGGTGACGAGGAGTTCAGTCCGGAGGATCTCGAGCACGTCTCCATTACGGTCCTTTTCATCGGGGGTGGTCTGGTTAGTATACCCCGCGGCGTGGGAGAACTGAAATCTGGACTAATCATGCTCTTTAGCTTGCGATGCTTGTCGAATCAACCTCGGTCCGCGAACTACTCAATACAACAGTGACAGAAGCCGCCCTTGCACACCCCCACCACGCCTACAGCGAGGAGGAGCGCGACAGCCTCGAGCCACCCGCAACCTATGAATTCTCTATCAATCCAATCCCGGCACTTGTTATCTTGCTCCTCGGTATCATGATGAGCTCGCACACACAGGAATCGATGATCTCAAGCATGGTACATAAGCAGTGGGGCAACCTTCTCACGGGCGCTTCCTTCGCGCGAGGTTTCACTTATGTCTTGCTGTACTTAAAGCCACCGCGCTCTATCTTGCCTTCACGTCCGCCGACCGAACTACTGACAGCGTTTGGTCTAATCTCCGGCGGCACGGTTTTCATGGCAAGCAGCGGCGACACCGTCGCGGGAATGGAACACTATGGCCTGGATGCCATGTTCTTCTACACAGTGACTATGGGCCTGGTTGGGTTGCTGATGGCTTGGATCGTAATCTTACTCGCCATTAAGGGATGGGCAGTGCGCAAGGAATCGGGCAATTCAGCAAAGTCTTGGTCGCAACTATCGAGACTCTAAGTACCTTTCACTCGCACAAGGAACATACATCGGGGTGCATAGGACAGTCAAGCGAGAAAACGACAGCTTGCACTGCATACAGATAATGGGAAAGAGACGGAAATCGTCTGCTTGCGACTCAGCCTTGACGCATTTTACAGGAATTCGGCGCATTCATTCTAGGCTGCTGCGGGCGAGTAGTAGATCGAGTTTCGGTCGATATACCCCTACTCGCCCCTCAAGCTTAACATTGGTCAACATAGAGCATTCTGGTCTTTCATTACCGTCCATGATACCCTAGGGAAACGTCTTTTTAGTTTTATCCCCCCCACATGATAACCATTGGTTGGACAGCTGTTAATTGATCATGATGGTAATGATATTTATGTGGAAGGAGAGCTGGATGAGGAGCCAACAAGGCTTAGTTGTGGGGACGTAGGGTATGGCAGAATTTACGCCGCTCTGACTGGGTGCTATGAAATAGTTCTTAACAAATAATAGATTCCCATTGCTGCTTTCACTTGCTGTGTTTCTCTTTAATATCTGTGACTAGGCACTGGCACTGGAGGGCGGCCATCTCGAATGTGTGTTCGGCGGTTCGGCGTTTCTTCGGAACATCATAGGAGAAAATTGTCTTTTCCAGTGGCTGTCAAAGATAAGATTTAGAAGATACAATAGCGGGGTAAAATTTTCAACATTTGGCATCCTGCCAGAGTGGTTAATGGGTGAGACTTGAACGCATTGAACGTTTAGCCATCTCATGACTTCGGTCGCGTAGGTTCGAATCCTGCGGATGTCGCAATTTTTGCCATGGCGTTTTGTTCGTCTACACGTTTCTTCTCTTTCGATTATCCCACATACGTGCAATCCTTCTTAATTTTTTTCTTGTAGCGCAGCTCCCATTGTGCTGTGGCGTGCTCCCAACATTGAACTTCCGATTCCTGTAGTAACTATACATACATAGATAGTACTGGTGCCTGATAACACGGTTTTGAATTATCGCCAACAGATCCAGACCTGGCACACACCCAGGTAACCGCCTAGCCAGTCTCCTGCAAATCGGTACAATGCTTTGCGACGGGAAGTTCCGGAAAGCGACATTAGTATTGCGAAGGAGCGCTCGTCAGATTTCTCTGCTCGTAGGGAGTCTCTGCTGCATATACGCCGCTCTCGTTCCCTCAGTCAGAAGTCATCTCCTCATCCCCCTTCTCATGTGGAACATGGCTGTTGCCATTGCCTTTCTTGGCCCTCTGCGCATCGACTACTCTCTCTTGGTCCGCGGTAGAGAACATTGAAGTGCCTTGTTGCAGACTCTTGATCAACATGGGCAACGCATCGGCCTTGAAGTCGTCCGCGCTACGAATCTTGTCCAGGTCCTCGGCAAATTCCTTGGTTGATTGTTGCAGGTAGTAAGATGTAAACTCTTCCGAGGTCTTATCATCTTTGGGGGCCATTTTGAAGCTGGGGTTGGACTTTGGGGGCCTGGAGAACAACAGCGACAGGTAGGCAGTGGGTGCAACACAGGCTGTGTTTGTGGGAAGACGGGCGCACTTGGACCTTGCGGGCTTTTGCAAAATGGTCGTGATCGTCTCTGGTGCTGATGAGTGATGAAGGTATCGATTGATGATTTGGGGGTTGAATGTTTTTTTTTTTTGTTCTGCCACGCTACCCCAGCGGAAGAAGAGTAGGGTCCCTAATAAGGTAGAAGGAGCTGAAGATCCACTACAAAAGCTCACATTCGCTCATAGCCATTGTAGAGGTAGCAACTGCGCAATTTGCGGCTCTGCGATCACCTACAACCACCAACACCACCAGCTGCACTCTTCCTCAGCCATTCACTACCCTAATGCCTCGGCAGGCTACACGTCGATTACACTGTCGCCCGTTTACTGGACGCAGGCCGAGCTAGCTGACATGTGCAGTCTTAGCCCTCGAAAATGCAATTCTGTAACCAGTTACATGTTCCAACTCAGCCCGCGATGGCTACTCCTCCCAGCCACGCGGGCTGAAGTCAGGATAGCTATCCTCAGCTGCAAGGACATCCTGCCCGTGGATGAATCCATTCTGGGAACGGTGTGTTGATCCAAGAGGAGTTGGGGTCTACCGGCTACCTGTATAAGAGACTGCGCAGGTCCTTGTCCTTCATACCACTGAGGATAGGTAAACGTTTGGATGGCCATCTTCCCAACTCGAGTGAATATACGAGTATTGTGACCATCAAGGGAAGTCTTTCTTATACAGATATACTCAAAAGCCACTCATAGAGCGGCCGACGGCTTTCATCGCTTTGTGTCGTTTGCCTTTTCATACTGCTACCTAAGTCATTGCCTGAGCTATGCCTGCGTCCATCACCAAGCAGATCCTGGCCGCGGCCTCATGGTCCTCCTCGCGTGTCGACATCATCGCTATCGGCAGCGACAACGCCATGTATCACAAAGGCTGGGACGGCAGCTGGCAGAGCGATTGGGATTCTCTCGGTGGCTCGTTTACCTCCGTCGCCCCAACCATGGTGGCCTGGGGTCCCAACAGACTTGATACGTTCGGCCTCGACTCATCTTCGAGCACCATGATGCACAATTCCTGGGACGGGCAGAGCTGGGAGTCCACGTGGAAGCCGTGCCCACACAGACTTTCACTGGATCCTTCGCTGTCGCCGCTTGGGAGGAGCAAAGACTGGACATTTTCGGCCGGGGAAAAGACGACCACACAATGTATCACGAATATGTATGTGAAGTCCCCAGAGACCTCCTAGCTTATAACCTCTTGGTTCCTTTCGTTAACACCGGCTTCTAATCTGTAGTGGGATCCATCCGGCTGGGGCTCCAGCTGGGAGAACCACGGCGGCCAATGGAATGCGGAAATGTCTACAGTCTCGTGAAGCAGCCAGCGCCTTGATATATTCACCGTTGGCGAGGATGGCGGCGTCTATCACCTAGCTTATGATGGCACGTCCTTCGGGTGGCAGCAGCCATGGGACTCACCGGGAGGTACCTGGGTAGACCCAGTGACCCCGACATCCTGGAGTCAGGAACGTCTTGATATCTTCACGATTGGCATCGACAACCTGTTCCACACCCGTGGCTGGGACGGGAGCGAATGGGCTGGCGATTGGAGCAATCTAGGGGGGCCCTTCACAAGTCCTCCAGCCGCAGTCAGCTGGGGTTCAGGACGCCTTGATGTATTTGGTCTCGGGACTGATCAGGCGATCTGGCACCGCTCGTATGATGGCGGTGCTTGGGAGGGCGATTGGGACTCCGTCGGTGGCGGGCCATTCGAGACAGTACCTGTAGTGGTAAGTCGGGATGAATCAAAGATCAGTGTTGTCGCTGCGGATGCCGACGGGAGGGTGTGGCATCGCGCGCTATTCGGTACTCAATGGGGTGACTGGGATGACCTTGGGATCCCAGGCCCGGAGGCAGCAGATTCGGGGACGGACACAAGCAGTGCGGGGGTTGGGTTCATTTCGACAGTGACCGTGACAGCAGCTGCTACGGGGACAGTCGCCAGTGGCTATTCATCAACAATGATTGTTGGAGGACAGTCAACTTCGTCTGCTGGTAACGCTAACGTGTTGACCGTGACTGCTCCTAATGCGGGTGGCGCCGGTGGCTCCTCTGCGACAGCGACAGCGACGGCGACAACAGATTCAGATTCCTCAGGCTCATGGCAAACCCCGGATTATAGCGTTGCGTTGGGCTTGCCTGTACTTCTGATGCTGTGGGTGGCCACAATGCTGTGAGATTCGGTTCTTGGGCGGCTTCCCCCTGCGGCAGGATCTCTCGTCTTGTTCGAGAGGTCATGGGCAATATCTCCAACTACATTCCACAGTCAGTTCATCGGCAGATAGGAGGATACTGGTGAGAAACTTACATGCACCGTTGCACGTGTCACGCAAATCGTGATATTGACAACCTAGACTGCTCCAGGTCCTGCTCACTTCTGTGACCCATCACTTGCGGCCACAGTGCCGGGCTTTTCCTTGTCGAACTGCTGGCAACTCGGCTCTTGCAATTCCAAACAGCCTGGCACTCTACTTCTCTGATGGGGTTTCGACTCTCGGGGCCGAATTGGCATTTTTCACTAAGCGTGCGAAAGTATCTACTTTTTGAGGATAACCTTTACATGGCTATCATTTTGCCCTCATGTATTTGACTAGTACAACCTACAGACCGGCCAATTTGGTGACGAGGCTCTTTTGGTTACAACTATTCCATTCTTTGGCCCAGGACCGCGAGGAACACGGCGTATACGCTACAGATCGAAGAACTCCACATTCTGATTTGCTTACAGCGCGTGCCTGAGAAGAGCCAAGTGTGGCTATGCCTATGTCATAAGATGATGCCCATGCCATTTCATTCTGAACCAACCTGCGCAGGTTTTCTGAACGCAGTTGCTCCTCACTCAGCCTTTCGCAATAGCGCTGCTTCTCCACGCACATCGGCACCCTCAGAAAGGTACTGCCACCCGGATTGACCCCAATCGGGAAGATGGATGGCCAAGTCTCCAGCTCTTTCGGTGCTGAGCCAGACCTGCCGGCTGCGACCGAGCTATACGTCGTATTTGTCGAGCAATGCGATTGGTTCAGGACGCCAAGACGCAGCACCGCTGACGTGAAAGGCTTGACGCTGGACATGAAGCTTTAACCAGACACTCGGCAAAGGAGAAACAATGAATTCTTATAAAGATGGCTTCCAATTCCAATAGCTACGGGTATGTCCCGACTCCGACATCATACTCAACTCTATTGGAGATTCGGCGAACCTCGACACAAGCAAAGTTATCTCAGACATCGCGCCAAGACTTGTTGAGCAGCAGCTTGCTATTGCATCCTCCGACACGTTCGACATTGTCCGTGTACCGAAGTTCTGTCCCTGAAGATCGATCTGACTCGGCGGTCAGCCCCGGCATTTCGATTGTAGACGGATACGATGGATGACGGAAAGTACGTCGAGGGCAGCGTCTGGTTCTACGCACCGAACAAGGGAGCGCCAGTCTTCTTTGCCGTGGCCTTCGCGGCAACCGGAGCTGTTCACTTATGGCAAGCGATGTAGGACCGCCCTTCACATGCCAGCACGTTCCGAGCGCGTCGCTAATCCTGGCCTAGGCATTACAAAAGCTGGAGGCTCACAGGCTTATACGTCTTCTGCGCTCTCATTTTCCTCGTGGGTTTCGTATTTCGAGAGATTGGTGCGTTCCATTACGACAACCTAGTCGTATATATTGTCAGCATCTGCCTGTGCTATGCGGCGCCGTGAGTGCGAAAGAGCCTAGGATCATTCGAACTGAAAGAGACTGACCGCCAAATAACAGACCATTATACGAGTTGGCAAATTACTACATCCTGGGAAGAATTTTGTATTATGTCCCGTACTACTCCCCCATACACCCAGGTCGCGTCTTGACGACTTTTGCCGCCATATCCACAATCATCGAGGCCTTGAATGGGATAGGCGCTTCATACATCGCAAACAGGTCACTGCCCCAGGATACGCAAGAAGTGGGCCAGTCTCTTCTGAAGGCCGCCCTCTTGATGCAGCTCATCGTGGTGAGCCTGTTCGTTATTCTTGCTGTCACGTTCCACGCCAGGTGCCGGAAGAATGGCATCCACCATGTCAAGGTCGACCAGTCACTGCTCACTCTGTACATCAGCAGTGCCATCATTGTCGTCAGGTGCATATACCGCACCGTTGAGTTCTTCGACCTCTACAGCGTCGATTATGATGCGCCTGACTTCGACCCGACGACTTTGAGCGCCATCATTCGCTATGAGTGGTTATTCTACGTGTTCGAGGCCTCCCT